AAACATAAAAATTGACAGCTAATGCAAACAGTTAAATTATCAAAAAATCAGATGAAGGACAATACAGAACAACATTTTGGGCCTGAGCCGCTTTGGCTGGACCCGATCCACCGATCCGCTCGCTCCGCTGCCAAATCCAACGGTGTCACCTATTTCCCGACACATCTCTGCTGCAAGATCTCAACCGTTCGTACCATTCTTCACGGCCCTAACGTGTTTCGTCGGCAACTGGCAGTCCCATATTAAACTGGACCCGTTCGCACGTGCGCTGTGCACAGCCTTTTTTTTGGTTAAAATGAGAGTGAAGTACAAATTTATTCGACAATGTAAAATAATTATAAATTATGAATACAAGAAATACAATAAGTATACTCAATTGTATACAAAAAAAGAAAAAAGATAGTATATCTATATGTGACATATCACTAAAAATCGTCTTGATCCGGCACGAATCTTGATGCAAATAGTAATTGAAAACTTCCAAAATTAAAATTGATACCATCCAAATTCTGACTTCAGCAAACTTATATTAAAACTGAATATCTTAGAAATTCACTTAACGACAAAACAAGTCCAAATCAAAGACCCAAAGCGCATTCGGAAGGTTCAAATCATAATATGAATTACCAAAAGGTTTCCAAATGTGACATGCTTATAATCAAATCGAGCGGCTCGGCGAGACAAATCCAACGAGCTCAAGATCATTGAATTCCGATATCATTAAGGCATTCAAATGACCATTAAACGGTCCACGCTCAAAGGGACCAATATTAGCCGTCCATTCAAACCACTCCTATTTTTACCTTAATCCTCCCCATATTTACAAGCTATGCCACTCTAAAAAAACTATAAATAGACGCTCAATTTTCACATGAAGGGGGATGAATAAGAAGGAAAGGAAGGGAGGAGTTTGAGAGCTCTCTTGGCGTCGACCACCGCCGGAGTTCTTCACAACCACTGCCGGAGTTCTTCCCGACCATCGACGGACTTCAGCCAGTCTGTCGACCGCCACCAGACTTCTATCAGTTCCCCGACCCCCGCCGGACTTCCGCCAGTTCGTCGACCACCACCGGACTTCCGCCAGTCCGCCGACCATCGCAGGACTTTTGCTCGTCCGCTGATCACCGTTGGAGTTCTTCCCAACCATCGACGGACTTCCACCAATTCACCGACCGCCACCGGACTTTCGCCAGTTCGTCGACCATCGTCGAACTTTTGCTCGTCCGCCGATCATCAGCGGAGTTCTTCCCAACCACCGACAGACTTCCACCAATTCGCCGACCGCCGCCATACTTCTTCTAGTTCGCCGACCACCGCTGGACTTCTGCCAGTCCGTCGACCGCCATCAAACTTTTGCCTGTCCGCCGACCATCGCCGGACTTCCACCAATCCTCCCAATAACTGTCATCTGATTACGGTCATCCTGACCTCCGTCGTTCGCCGATTATGGTCCTTGCAACCCCCCGTCGACTGCCGACTATGATTCTTCCAACCCTCGTCACCCGTCGAATATGGTTCTTCCGATCTACATCGCTCGCCAACTACAATTCTTCCGACCCCCATCAGCAGCCAAATATGTTCTTCCGATCTACATAGCTTGCCTACTATGGTTTTTGCCGCCCCAAATAAACATGTCAACATTGATTCATCCAACACACACCATGTAATATACTATGTATGATATATATTTGCTACATCGAGCCAAGACCTTCCTCTTAAGGAAGGGCCTCAATTGTAATAGACTGCAAACACTAATGGATTTATTCAAACTGGGCCAGACCCCGTGGTTTTTCCCCCTTTTCATGGGTTTCCACGTAAAAACTTTGGTGTCTCTTATGAACGTTACACCCTCTCCTCTTTCTGCTTGTGTTCTGGATCTTTGTATAAAGCTATGACATTACATTTTATATTTCTCTAACGCCGCGAATATTCCAGGACGCAACAATATGCATGGCAAAGTAAAAAAGAACTACAAAGAGCACGACAAAAAAAGGCTAAGCCAGAAGGTTGCCAAGCTAAAATATACTCATAATGTTCCAAAGTTGGGCATACCCAATAAACAAAATTGGCAACGGTTACCCTGACAACCCAAAGGCCTTCCACGAATAGAGACAAGACTGGTAGCCATGAAGGCCACACAAGGGACAAAGCTAAAAAATAAGATGCACAACATTCAACATGGTCCAACAGCTTCGAATTTATAAAGCAAAAGAAAGGCAACCCATCATACAGAAAAAATTAGGGAGAACAACAACAGCCACTAGAGCTCGCCTTCAAAACAAAGACAGCCTGAAGCCCAAAACTCCAACAAAACCCAAGCCAATCAGCATAGAGATCCAAAAACACAGTGCCAAAGCATAAAGCCAGAAAGAAACCCTAAAAAAAAAAAAAAATACAACAAAGCCAACACCACCCAGCTACTAAAACCAGCAGGCTGCAACCACCACAATCACCTACACAACAATGCCAACACCACCCAACTACCAAAATCAACAGGCCACACCACCAACCAGCAAAAGCACTAAAAGAGGAAGCTGAGGCCAAACTAGCAGGACACACCCACCTAGAAATTGAAAGAATAATAACAAGTCAGCAAAGAAATCTCCTGAGATCATTGAAGTTGTTCTAGCAAGAGATTTTAAGCAAGATTGACTTTTCAACGTTTGAAGAAACTGTAGATGAGATACTGAAAAGAGAGAAGTTATTAGGTGCTCACAAGAAAATAAGAACTCCATTAAGTTTTACAGCCTTCAGCCAAATCAACGATTATTGAGCTCGTTGGTTCGTGCTAATGTTGGTCGTTCGAAGGTTTCACGTGGTAGGGGCCGTGGCAAGGGTCGTCGTAGGCGTTAATGATTTTGTTGTTTTTTTGGTTAATCTGTTTGGTTTTCCGATTATGGGTTTCGGTGTCCTCGCAGATTTTTTCGTTTTATATGTGGCTATGATGTGGCCGGGACGAGTGCCCTATCTTTTTGCTGGCGGCAACCTTTGGTGCTTTTCGTTGAGAATAGTTGACTGGACCTTTTATCACCTTACTGGATGGCCCGTGCGTGCTGGTGGGGCACTGGATGTCTCGGTCAACTACTGAGCCCAACTACCAATTATCTACTATCAGTTTTCGTCTTTCATTGTATTTCTGCATTTTATTATATGTTTGACTATCTCTGTTGTAACCCCTTTTTTATCAATAAAATGTTTTTGTTAAAAAAAAAAAAATGATTATTGAGCTTCCTATTAGGAGAAGTTATTAGGTGCTGATGCCTGACAAGTTAAGTAGAAGGTAAATTTTATTTATTTATTTAAATTTTAAATTGGATCTGAGTTAAATTATAATTGAAATCAAATAAATTTAATATAAAATGAATTACTTTTGAATTGCCTCAAATCCAACCGCTTTATTTATTTTTTCTATAAATTTGGTCTACCAAAATCAAAATAATGCAATAAATAAAGTTTGACTCACTACGCACCCCGTCCCGCCTAATTGACTAGGTTAGGTTAATCAAGTGGGATTATAATCCGGAACACTCCATTGATTGGTATGTATTGATTTCTTTGATCATGGACTATATTTTTCATATTTAATCGCCTTAATAATTTCATAATCGAGTGATATTTGCCTCGTTACACTTTTCTACACTTGAATTTATTATAATTATGCAATATTTAAAGATATCTTTGTATTCCCATTAATATTATGAAGTTTTCAATTACACTTCAATTGTGTGATTTGAGCTTATTTGGATTTGGATCGAACCACTTTTTCATCTAAATTTTCAATTCAATAAAAAAAATTGCTAAAATTGGGGTTCGTATTATCCTTATTTTGATTCTAAAAATTTTAATTCAAATATGCATCAAGATTCATGTCTGATATAATCAAATTTTGGTGATATATAAAAACTAAAGATCCTTTGTACATAATATTGAATCTAACAATTAAACTAAAAATTACTTTTGAAGGTGAGCTTTATGATAATCATGTTCAAATGCTTGCACAACAAACTGTGTTTAGGGTAAAATTTAGGCTTCGTTTGGTACCGTTTTCTTATTGTTTTATAAAGCGGCTTTCTCGCACAATAATTTATTGAATTAAAAAATTTTTGTACAAGAAAGTTGCTTAAGAAAGAAATAAAAAAGATATCCCAAATAAGGCCTTAAAGATTGTTATTATTATGAAAATGTTAAATGAAGCTATTTGATAAGTTCAATAAATTATTTCATATAATTTAAAGTTTGTTGATAGAAATTCTTTTGCTATGAATATGTTTACTATTATTAATGAATCCTCCGATTAAAAAGATGCGCACTACTTGTAATCAACAACGTACGTTAGTGAAATCATTTAAACTAGGTTATGTCTCTTTAAAAATGTTTTTTTTTTAATGTTTTTCATGTACAAATATCTCTCGCGACTTGTTATATCTATATATGTGTTATATCTTACTCAAAAGCTTCATTTGGGGCAGCTTTAAACCATTATTTTTTTCCTATTTTTAAAGAATTTTTATTAAACATTATCTTTACAAAGCAGTATGAAAGCTGTCACTTTCATACTATTTTCTAGTATCAAAATAAATTGAATTAAAAAAAATTGTAATAAAAAGTTCTTTCAAAAGACTAAAAAAACTATTTAGAATACAATTTAAGATGTTAAATCCTTCTTTTTCTAACTTCATAAAAATTCTAGCACATAATAATTTATATTCAAAAATTATTTTAAATAAATCAAATGAAATAAATAATAAAATTTCATTAATCTAAACGATTTTTTATATTTTGAAAACATATACATTAGTAAAATTGCAATTACTATTTCTAAAAATTTATATTTTAAAAGCATTTAACGAGGCGACCCAAAATCGAAATCAAATGAAGGGAAGCCGCAAAGCATTTACCACGCTTATCTCCCTCCTGGGATCTCGCGCCCAACAGGACGGCTAGATCGCATCACCGCCGTCCATTCTCGACAGCACCTAGCTCGTAATAACCCGGGGCTATTTAAGTAAATTCCGCACCACCAGTAAAGTGCGCCCACAGTCCTAGTTAACCTACGCTTTCCAACTATTTAACCGCCCACACAGTCCAGCATCTTCTCCCATCTGTCGCTCTCGCCGCACTCTTCTCTTAATTAAGCTCTCGCCGTCTTATCCATTCCTCACCGGGAAAAATGGCTTCAACGCCGGCGATGGGTGATCCATGCTTCGACGTAGACAAGCTCAGCTACGAGATATTCACAATACTGGAATCTAAGTTTCTTTTTGGCTACGATGATCCAAAACTCTTCCTCAACGAATCCTCTCCTGAAACCCCAGCGAAGAATCATGCCTCACCGAAAATATCATCCGGCAAGGTACGCATCCTCTCCATAGATGCAATTAGCGATTGCGTACTAGCTGCAGCCTTCCTCGCCCACATTGAATCCTCTCTCCGCATCCAATCCGGAGACCCCGCCGCTGCGATCGCCGATTTCTTCGACATTGCGGCAGGTTCAGGCGCCGGAGGCGTCATTTCCGCTATGCTCTTCACACGTGGCGTCAACGGCCGCCCTCTATTCTCCGCGGAAGAGACCCTCTGCTTCCTTTCCAAAAATGGCCTCCCATCCACGCGAAAGGGGCTTTTCTGTGCGATGATGCGGCGGCCCATCAACGGATCATTCCGTAAAATATTTGGAGAAGAAACACTGCGTGACACTGTGAAGCCATTGCTCATTCCTTGCTTTGACTTCTCCACCGGCGCGCCGTTTCTTTTCTCGAGAGCGGACGCCGTGGAAACTGACGGGTACGATTTCCGCATCAGAGAGATCTGTGCTGCAACTTGCGGCGTCTCGAAGGCTATGGAGATGAAATCCATCGACGGCCGGACGAGAATCGCTGCCGTTGGTGGCGAGGTCGCAATGGCGAACCCCACAGCGGCGGCCATCACGCATGTGCTTCACAACAAGCAGGAGTTCCCCTTTGCCTCCCGCATCGAAGATCTCCTCGTTCTATCGATCGCCGGCGTAGCACCCGAACTCGCAGGCAGATCATCCCAGTCTACGGCGCAGGCTTTACGGATTGCCGGGAATGGGATGGCTGACACGGTACGTCTAACCCATTCTTCTCCCGCCAGTTGTTTTTCAACATTGCAGTTTCGCCCTCACAACTTGCCAAGTGATTCTGAATTGACTAAAAGACCCCTCCACTGTCTTTGTTCGTTGCTCAGGTAGATCAAGTGATCGCGATGGCCTTTTCACAGAACAGGACAAACAATTCCAACTACATCCGTCTTCAGGTTTAGCCTCAATTTCCATTTTTTTCTAACAATTTTCTGTCATAATTTAATGATAATTATGTATCAATTAATTATATATTTTTTCCTTAAATTAAAAAAAAAAAAATACAGGCTCATGGCCTGGGAATTGACACCTTCAAAGGCTCAAATCGAGATGCAAAGCAGATAATGGAAACAGCAGAGGCAATATTAGGGCAGAGGAATGTAGAATCCGTGCTCTTTCAGGGGAGGAAACTTTCAGAAGAAACCAATGCAGAGAAGCTTGAGCGGTTCGCAGCAGAACTGATTGAAGAACACGATAACAGAAAGAAATCTCGAATTCCCACTGTCTTCATCAAGCAGATAATGACTCCGAGAACATCGTCTGCCACAACCATCACCAGCACCACCTTATCGGGTTCTCCCCGACCCAATAGCTCACACTCGTAACACGATAACACGGAACCAACCTATGTTGATTTCCTCATCTTCTAATTTTCTCCTGATTTCCCGGAAAAGTGCTGTGCTGAGCGGGAAGGTAGTTTGAGAGTGGATTGTTAGTTAAAAAGTTGAATAACTCGTTTAGGTAAAGCTGGAAGATGCTGTCGTGTAGCAATTATGGCCGTAATTAGTTAGCTAATAAAGATTCTCTGTGCCATTGCTTTAAATAACGGCTGAGGACAGAGCCACCAAAAAAATTACTCCCTGATGGGCTATAACAGTGTGGGCCATGAAAAAAGGCTTGGGCCGGTGTCTGCCGAAACTCGCGGAGACGGTCTCTTCGTGGGGTCCACTACGGCCCATCGTACGACCGCATTGGGCTGTCCTCGCGGGGAGAGAGGGAAGCTGTTTTGAGTTTGCGAGTTTCGGCCTTTGAGCTATCTGGGTGGCCTGCTCGCACGTGTGGTTTCTGCTCACGAACCCGCGCTGGGCGCGCCACGTGGGAAATTAATCCGGGCATGTGACATATCTCGATGTTTGTTCACTGGATTAGTTTTTGGGGCGGTTGGCGCGTATTTAATCACACGGGTCGCAACAGGGTGTGAATGCGTTATTTAATGGCGAATAAATTTGCGTGTGACGAAGTTGATTTTTAGCGAATTTTTTTAAAGGACAAAAATATATCATTTTTTAAACTGGGAATTAGAGAATCTCTAAGTTTTGAGAATATTATATTCAGTTTCAGATATTTGGTAACCAAAAGGCTGATCTCAAAAATAATAAAAAAATCAGGCTATTTTTTTAGATTTTTTGTGTCGTGAAGGTTTATTTTGATAATTTATGTCATTATTTTATGTTTTATATATTATTTTGCGTGAAGGCTGTCATGATGAACATATCAAAATATCTTAGCATAAAATTTTTATAAATAATTATTCTATCAAAGCAAATAATCAAACGATTAATTCTATTGAATTGGATGATTTATCAATAAGACATAATTATCATCCCTAAATAAAAATTAGTAGAATTTTTCTTTATGCCAATCCTAAACTCATTAGAATTTACAAGTGTTGCGTTATTGTTCAAACATGCTTATCATTTTTATTAGTGGATAATAATAATAATGTTATTTACATTTTACATAATGACTCGAAAGTTAGTATGTGTGACTTTTGTTTCGTTTGGGACGGCTTTATTACTGTTTCTGCATCGATTTGTTAAAAAATTAAAATTTTGTTATTAAAAAACTGTTTGGAGAAGTTGTAAGAAAGTCATCCAAATCGAGTCCATTTGTAATATTTTTCTTACTATTTTTTAGTATAAAAATTTTTATATTAAAAATTTATTTTAAAAGATAATAGAAAAACTATTCCACATGAATGAGCCTTACTTTCCCTTCATAATAAGAACATAAGCCTTCATTTTAAGTACCACTTGATATTTAATTTTTCATAAATTCAACTGTATTACGTTATTTCTTGACTTATACTAATCATAATATTTACAAAATCATCATAAAATTTGCTTACTTGAGAGCAGAGAGAAAGCAAAACCATGTTGTAGAGGAAGGGACATCAAGGATGGATTCTCTCTCCACTTTTATTTATTTATTTATTTTTTATTTTGTAGTTAGCAATCAGAATTAATTTATGTTGCTTTACCCAAAAAACTCTTTGGAATAACGAGGAGAGAGATGCTTCTATCTTTTTTTTTTCTTTGTTTTTGGTTGGAATCCTTTTACATTTGCCACCTACCTATTTTAGCCTTCATACATTTTAAAAATTCTTATTTGAAAATAATTTTTTTTTCTAATTGTTATAAAAAAGTAACAAAAAATAATTGCCAAACAGAAATTGTGGTTGCGAACGAAATAAAGCAGTAAGAATGCTGTCCCAAACGAAGCCTTAATCTCTAAAAGTGCCTAAGTTAATGACATTAGTAATTTCGTACCTATTTTTATATTTTAATAAATTTAGCGATAAAGGCTGGTTGTTGTTGTAGGGATATTTATCATCTCAAAATCATTATGGTTGAAATTATATATGGTACATAGATTGGATTTATCAACAAGAGATAAATTTAAGATATACTAACTTTTTTATTATTATAAATGGTAATCTTGAAGTTTCTCTTGCTTGCACCATTTGTATTAAGGAAAGATGCCCTCTTTCTTTGTTTTTTTCTTTTTTGTTTTGGATTATTTGGCAACTTCACTTGACAATCTTATTTCTTGATCTATTCTTGTTTTTTAAGGATGTTAGATGATGACCTTAAGTCATCTCATGATAAATATTCAATGGAATTTTTTGGTTGAATTTTTCTCATTAATATCTCATTGCAAAATAATACTACTCTAAATGCTATAATTTCATGCTCAAATTGGAATATCAAATATCATTCATCTTTATTGTCATCTACATGATCCCAATTCATATTGTTATATCACTCCAATGGAAGATAAGATTAGGGAGAGTTGTTGTAGATGGTTTGATCACATAAAACAGTGGCCTCTCGATGATCCTGATTGGAGAGTAGATGTATTATATTTGACTTATGTTAAGAAATGCAGAGACAGACTTAAAAAGATTTGGTTAGAAAATCTTAGAAATGACATTTTTTTTATTAGATTTAAATGAGAATTTAACAAAATGGATAAAAAAAATCATATAGCTGACCCCACATAGTGGGACAAAGGCTTGATATTATTGTTGTTGTACTCGATGGTGATGCTATTTCATGAAAAAATAAATTAAATCATATTTTTAAATATTTTAGCTTTATATGGATCTCTAACAATTTTCTTGTATAGTAATTTTTTTATTGGGATTTGGAATATATTGGAAATTCTTGATTGCTTCTTTGATTCTAATTTATTAGAGATAATTTTGGTTGCATTTTTTTGTTTTGATTTAGCCTTTTAGTCTGTTTTCTTGCTAAATTCTTCATTTTTCTATATTATTTTTGGCTTTAGAAAATAATAAATAGCTAGTCAGATTGTGTGTTATTATCTCTTAATAATACATTTTAATATAGCCTGAAATATTGTTTGGCTTTGGTTGGCCTCCTCTTAATTTTAGAATCTTAATAATACATTTTAAGATATTTAACAACTAAATTAACAAACACCTAAGAAAATATTTATTAAAAAAATTTATGGCGATAAAAAGAGAAAGATTGTTGAGTATTCTATGTTGAATCTAATTTATGTTTGCCTTTGTTTTTTCCTTGCAAGATATTTCAATTGGATTGTAAGACAATAATTAAAACAATTTTGGATAATTATTACTTATAAAATTAAAAAATACATATCTTCTTAACAAAATTTGTCTTATGACCATTTAAAAATATTTTATTTTATTAGAAAATTCAGCTTAAGATATCTTAAATTTATCTTTTCCTTGTGCTCAATTGTTTGGAGTGAAAAGAATAAAAGGGAAGTTTTCCTTATAATTACGATTTAATTATTTTCCTAAAATGAGTGAAAATGAGAGAAAATAAAATTATTTATCAAATCTTAATTAAAAATTTAATGAATAATTTTTTATCTTAAAATTTTAAAAAATTTAAACAAAATTTTTTTTTTTTAAACTCCCAATAATGTATAAAATTTTTTTAAAAAAATTAAACAAATTTCTTTCTTTTTTTTTTAAAAACTCCCAATAGTGTATAAGAACTATAAGATTAAAAAAAAGTGAGACATCCCAAAGAAAAAATAAAGGCCTTATCAATTAATGGTACTTTGCTAATAATATTGTAGTACATATATTCATAATGGTTATTTACCAAAGCTTAAGGCATGGTCCACTCTTTGGGACACCTCAACCATCCCCTTAAACTCTCCTCATAAATACTCAATGAAATGGAAAGCTTTGTCTACATTAACTTTTGTTTTGCATAAGTTAATGATATTAATTTTTCATCATAAATGTTAAAGAAATGGTCCCATAGCCATCACAAGGCACACAAGCTCCTTTAGATTGTCTAAGTACATTTTTAGCTAACCAATATTGCTTCAATGTGTGGATTAATAGGATTATAACTAAGTTAGCTCAAACAATTAATGAATGAAAACTACTACTTTTTATCAAATCTAGCTTAACAAAATGGAAGCCATTTCATGAATGTCCCAATGATGTCCACTAGGAGAAATTATTCTGTGTGGACGCCGGACGTAGCTCTACGTCCGGATGCTACGCTACTGAGCGGTACCGAGACGCGGTATAATAAAAGGGTGACATTGTGCATTTTGATTGGTCTACGAACGGTGTTCGACATCTACATAAAATAATTTTTTGTCCACCATTTGATGTCATTTGAAATAGGTTTTTAGTTATTTTTGTGATAAAAATAGTCAACAAAAAATAATTTTGATTTTGATGATGACTTTTATTTATTTTATTTATTATTTCCGTCAAAATATTTATTTTTGAAAAAAAAGAATTATACTTCAAACAATACCTTTTAATTGTAAAAATTAAAAAATTAATGAATCTTAGGGACCAAGCTAGCTATGTTTGGTTATTATATATATATATATATATATATATTATTGTAAGATGATTAGATATATAAAAATAAATATTTATGAATCTTAATCAAGGAACAAAAACAAGACTGGCATGATAATAAATAAAGTGAATAATAAAAAAAAATTCTTTCTAATTGTAAAATCAAATAAAATGTTATTTCCCTAATTGAAAAAAGTAAGTAATTGTTAGCAATGATCAAATTTAAATTTTATGAAATAAGAAATAATTTAAGCTCATTTGAATAATTACTAAAACAAAATAACACAAATTTCAAGTTCAATTCAAATTCGAATATACTCGAAATCGAATTGATTTGAGCCTTGAGCTGATTTCAAGTCAAGTAACTATTAGACTCGAGCTGAAACAATATCAACCAGAAGTCGAATGATTCTCGTTGTTTATAGAGTTAATCCATATCTATTCATAAAAATTCAACCAAAATTTCAATAGATAATTATAACAGGTCAATATAGGTTTCGTTTGGGATGAGTTTTTTATTATTTTTTTAAACAGAGTTTTAATGCAAAAATTTAAATTTTTGTAAACTCTGTATTAAGAAGTCCCAAACGAAGTCATAGTCTTGAGCGGATTTTGATAGACCCTATCAATTCTAAACTATAATTTTAATGGTATTTTTGGTGATTTGTTTGCTCAACTATTCAAACTATATTCATAAAAGGACCTGAACCTAAAAAAAAAATAAAAAAAAATAAATAAATAAATAAAAAGGACATGAACCTAAAACTATATTATGTACTTTTCAGGCTTCAATGGTTTGAACTTTTTGGTATGTGACTGTTTTTTTTATGTCGGTTGGTGAATGCTTTTCTAGGGTTTGAATTAAAGTGCAAGATTTGGTACAAATATGAGGGCGTGGAGAGCTAATTCAATGCTCCTTTTTTAGTGGTCCTCTTTCTTGAATTTTTTTCCCACTTTGAACCAAAATCATAATAATTTTCTTCTTTTGTAAGAACAACAAAAAGTTCAAATTTATATGAAGTGAAAATTATATATATATATATATATATATATTCACATTTTCAAATTATAGTGAGTTATTAGGGCAATTTTTTAAACTAAGTACCGTTTAAAATTTAATTAAGCGATTAACCAACGAAAAAAAAAATTTTAAACTCGCCAAAGTCGCCCGTTTAACGGGCGACTTACTTCCTTTATAAGTCAACCGTTATTTCTTGAAGTAACTGAATTATGTAAGTGTAGTAAGTCGCCCGTTGAACGGGCGACTTACTCTTGTTAATAAAAAAAAAAACGCCGCAGTCATCGATCGATCGCCTAATATCTCAAAAAAAATATAAATCTACATTTGTCCAAAAGAATCCTAGCAAAAATTAACTTCTTTCCACAAATCAAAAAATTTCTCAAGCTTATCCTAAATAAAATACCACTTTGCACACACAAAACCTAAATCTAAGCACTAAAGGAATCCTAAACTTCTAAAATAAGTCATTCAAATGAAAAAAACCACTAAAGGAAAGAAATTTAACACAAAAAAAGCAAAAAAAAACTCCAAAAACGAACTTACCTCGCGGATTCGCCCGGATTTGCCGAGAGACGCCGATGGTGTTTGCAGAAACGAGCTTTTTAGGGTAAGAAAAGGAGTTTGCGCGGCTGATATAAGTGAAGAGTAAGTCGCCCGTTTAACGGGCGACTTACTTAAAATATAAGTCGCCCGTTGAACGGGCGACTTTGGCGAGTTTAAATTTTTTTTTTTCCGTTGGTTAATCGCTTAATTATAATTAATATAATGCTTAGTTTAAAAAATTGCCCGAGTTATTATTGCATTATAAGGTGATTGGGTTTGTTTAGTTATAAAGGGGATCCCATTGCACACTCATTTTAGTAGGTTTTATGTCCCTATCTTTAGTTAATATCTTAAATGCAAGTTAGTTTAACCATTCAAAATTATTATGGAACATTTATTTTGTCTCATTAGGAGCACTATCATAGGCTTTTTTTGACTCATGAGGATAATAATAACAACATCAAGTCTTTATCCGATTACGTGGGGTCAATTGTATGAATATTTTTTCTCCATTATGTTCTATTAAGAGTAAAATTCTCCTTTAAATCAAATTTTTTTTAAAAAAATATTTCTAATACTTTCTAACCGAGCCTTTTTAGGTCGATCTCCACCTTTCTTAACATAAGTACTATGATCTAATATATCTAATCTCCTAACTGGATTATTGGAAGACCTACGTTTTATGTGACCAAACCATCTAAGACGACTCTCTATAATCTTATATGCCATTAGAGCTACTCTAACCTTTTCACGTATATGCTCATTTTCACTTTCATCCACATAAGCATTCTTATCTCTGCAACACAACTTAATTTTATGCTTCTCTTTTAATGACCAATATTCTAAACCATAACATAGATATAATGACTACAAACAAAATTTATTTGTTTTAGCTTATCATAATGATGTTATTCAGCTACATCTTCATAAAAATACAAGTAATTATACAGTGCAATACATCTTTCAAATAAAATAGAAAAAAAAGTATCATGAAATTCTGATTTTTTAATACAACCAAGCAAATATTTTTTGCTTAGGAAAATCAATTGCACAGGTTTATTCCTTTAATGTAAGGTTGGTAAGGGAAAAAAATTATTACAAAAGATGATCAAAATAAATAAAAATAAATAATTTTATTTTCAAATAAATATAAAACAAAAATAATTTATATTACATATATATCATCAACAACAACAACAAGCCCTGATCCTACTATGTGAAGTTGACTACATGAATCTTTTTTCTCCACTATTATATATTTCACAAAGCAAATTTTATGAAAGACATCAAAATTGAAAATCAAAATAAAATTTAGAACACAGTGGAGAAAATGAGCTCCAATCTCACAATTTGAGATTTGTTTATGATGTGTTTTCCTGAGATAGAAAATCAATTATGAGAGTTCACGAAGATTTTGCAATGCTCCCTCCATCAATGGCAAATCTATCAACCGTTGCCACAATGTTTAGCTTTATTTTTATGTTATTCAGGCAAAATATTTGATGGCGTCAAATCTATGTCATGAACATATGTGAATTTGAGCAGAAAGTTACTAGGAATATTCACCTTTGTCTTAGTTGTCTTGACCACCACAAGTCAACCCATCAAGTCCCTTCCAACATAAGCGGGCAGCTTAGGATTTCTGTCCTAAAAACTCCCATATGAGCTTCTTCTCCCATTGGAAAACATTTAACATAACATAGATTTAGTTCTGAATCTTCAATCCCCAATTTTCTCACTAAAGACTGAGCCCATATGAGCATGTAGAACTTCAATGACAATATAATTACTTGTTGTTTAAAGGATTTGTTCAGGATAGTTTATCCCCACACATTCGAGAAATTATTCTGTGCGGACATAAGACCGTTCGGAGGCAAATCAGAGCGCGTCATGTCATCTGGTACACAGCCACGGTACACAACAAAAGGGTGATGTGGCGTGCTCTGATTCTCCTACGAACGACGTCGAGTGTCCGCACAAAATAAATGTTTCACACCCTTTGCTATTCTTACCTAAAAAAGGAATGGTACTTCGCATTAATATGCGGATAGTCGTGCCATCAACAAGATAATAATCAAGATTAAATTGCTCATACCGTGACTTGATAGATGTTATCTATATTATCTGATACGGTATATACTAAAATTGATTTAAGAAGCAAGTATTATAAAATCTACATGAGTAAAGGAGATGAATGAAAAAATAACTTCAAAATGAAGAATAATTTATTCGAGTAGCTCGTGATGCCATTTGGCCTAATCAACACTCCTAGTATATTCATATGAGTGATAAATCACATCTTGCACATCTTTATTAAGAGAATTTTAGTTGCATAATTTTAATGACATTATTATTTTTCATTAAACTAGGTATGATACCCAAAAAAGAAATATTCTGACTTCAATAATCTTAGGATTTTTTATTTCCTATGAAAACATCTTTACAGACACCGAGAACACATAGACATTCAAGAATACCTATTTACAATTTTAATGGACTAGACACCTTCCATTAAGGTTCATATGTGAATTTAGCCCTATCATGACTTCAATCACCCAATATCTCAAAAAGGGTGAAATTTGTTTGGCAATTGGCATAGGCAGCTTCTAATGCTTTTTTCAAAATTGAGGAGTTTATGATGCATTCATTAAGTGTTAAAGTTACCATATTTCAACAAGATGTTTGAGGTAACCTACAATCCCTCTTGAGTTAGCATTAAAGTTTCCTCATGTGAGAGGGTTAACTAATCATTTTCTTCGATGAGAAATTAAATGATGTGCATCGACATTATTATTATATGACCATGAGTTTCAAGATTTCATAAAATTTGATGGATGGGATACTTTATGGGAAGAAGTAACACAATTTTGCAATATTGTTAAAATTGAAGTTCAAAATATAAGAATTATATTTAAATCTCGGCAACGGTCAATACGGAGAAGTGAAAAAATAACAAACTAAAATTATTATAATGTAGATTTATTTAACAGAGTTATTGATATGCATCTCTAAGAACTGAATAATCAATTCTCTGAAGCTAGCAGGAGTTGCTTCTTTGTATGGCCCCAATAACATTGAAGAAACACTGGATACATTCTTATGATCACTCCTTAGCTCCAATTCCTTAATTCCTTACTTTCATAGTTATACTTATCAAGCAATTTTTTTTGCATGTTAGTTTCAAGGCTCACAAAATTATAACATTACAGTTTTTGTACCTAGTAAATAAGGCCATTATAAGCTTTGCAGATCATTCTAAGAAAGAAAATTGTTCATGACCAAATCAACAAATGCCAAGAAATTGAGTGACAGAAAAATGCTTTTAAATTCGTCCGAAAGGTGAAGATGAAATAGAACTTTGTCTCCAATGTTATAATTGTATTAAATTTATGGCAACCAACTTACCAGTTACGTATCTATCAAGGCTGTCATAACCATAGAGCTCATGTCCTCAGCTAAATTTGCAGAGCAGTAAACTTGAGCTTGATCACAGCGCTGAGACATAACGAGGCAAGTATTTTGAAGCAATGTCATAGAAAATGAATTAAAAAAAAAAATACGGAATACAAATGGAAGGAAAAATAAACCGAGTACCAAAAAGAACTACAGAAGATTGAGCAGCCAGTGTGAAGCTAAAAATTTGGCACTATGGGCACATAAGCACAATACAGTGCATGCAGAGGTCCTCAATTGCGTTAATACTGTGAAACAAAATTTGGAAACAGGATTTCAGCTCCATGAACATAAGACTATCTGTTGACGGAGGTTTAATAATGGGATATAGTAATTTTTTAAGATTCCATAAAGGATATGACAGCGTAATGGAGATTCTAGACAAATGCATTTAACAATTCAGAATCCATAAGAACCGAGCTCAAACCTCTTAAAGCTACCGTGTTCGATGTTAGAACAAAGACATCCACAATGAAGATAGAAGCAAAAGGAAAATCCCAGACCTGCACTAGGAAGAGATGAGACAAACTCAAGAGGCGATGATTGATAGCTTCTGAAATATGAGGAATGACCAAATGTTATCTTCTCGAGTAAATAACAACAACATCATCATCATCAAGCTTTTATCATACTATGTGGGATCAACTATATAAATTATTTTCTCCATTGTGTCTTGCTAAGAGCCAAATTATGATTTGAATCTAATAAAGAAATTAAATTTCTAATACTTTCTAATCAAGTCTTTTTAGGTCTACCTCTACCATTCTCGAGTTAAGTAATACTTAAATAAAGGATTGCATGTACCATCATGGCTAAGAAGAACATCTTAAAGTAGCTTGAAACAAGGACAGCCAACAAGATTTCTCTGTACCTAATAAAATATAAAAATAAAAAAATGAATCACTTCGATGACAAAAATAAGCTTACTCATAGTAATTTATGAGTGAAAATTTAAACAAATACCAGAAATAATGTAAGCCAACACGCCATTTAATTGCTAAAGAGATATCCATGTCCCCCTCCCTCCCCATCAGCATGTACAAGTTTGGCGGGCAAAGCTACCATACTTGCACATAGTTAAATGACTTTTAATTTTCCTTGAAAGAAAGTCGATTTTTGGATGAAATAGTTAAGGATGCAATTATAAAAGAAAAGAAGTACAAACTAGGTTGCAGATGGGGCATGCATAAAGAAGTGAAGAAACAGAGTAAAGTGGGAAACGGGATTAATGTTACAATGCAAGTGGTTGCGTACATATAAAAATTAGGAGTTACTTCAATAAGAGTTTGCTTAACTAAATCACCACAAAGGTCGCCAACATAAATGAAAGGCAATCACAAACACCATAGCCAGCCAAAATAGTAGGTCATGATGGTAACAGTAACATCCGCAACTTCAGAGTCATAGAAAAAACTTTTTATGCTAAAAACTACAGCTATACCTGCATATATGATAATTCAATCTGAGTAGAACCCTAATACCAATCCACAAAACAGTTACAAAGATAAGATTTCCAATTAGAACGTTCAGAAACACCTGCAATGTTGAACAGCGCAACAGAATATCCAGATTAAATATAAGATGTCGCTAATTCATGGGGGAATAAACATACAAGAAGAAGAACCTTCTTCATTTCATTAAACGATACCTTTAAGCATGTCCAGGTGAACTCCAAACTGCTCCTTGATGAGTCCCGACTACCTTTACTTCGAATTAAAAGTGACACTCTGTCTTTACTTGTTAAGCTGTCTCAATTCAAATGAGAGGCATTGTATACAAAGTTTTATATTACACTTCAGAGCTAGATTGAAAGGATACATGCATCTAAAATAAAGTTCATTAGACCTGATTTCAAGGATATACCCTACAATAGAAAATTAGGACAACTGAGCATAAGAAGGAATTCATGTGCTACAATCGAACATTAAAGAAAACAACTGTTAAGATAAATTGAATAAATATAGGGAAGAAAATTAGAGTATTGAAACCAGTATGCTTGAGATTTAGAGGGAAAAAAAGGATGGCGCAGTTGAAGTAACTATGAGCCATATATGGCCTACAAATCCATGAAAGCACAGACAAAACATCACGAACAAGTAGTATGAAACAATATGCCCATTGACGCTTCAGAGGGGATCCAGCAGTGAGCCAGTGACGTCATTGTAAAGATGACAAAAATGGGCCATCATGGATGCTCGGTCAATGGTAGAGAAGTGTTTAGCACTAAACATGTAAGTTGTAAATTCTGCCTACCTAAGATGGTTTATAATTGCTACGTTCTACGCCCGGTCAAAGCCTCATTTTCTTTTTTTTTTTTGTGATCTCTACTCAATGCATCATTTAAGTTCTATTAAAAACCCCATATCTAAGACGTATGGTGTCAAAGATAATGTCAAAAAATTTGAAGAATAAATATTTGATACCAAAATTTAAGAACAAAGAAGATATTTAATATTGCTACCTATGAAGAATCGGACATGTAAGTCATATAATGAAGATATAGGAAAGAATAATGCTACATAGAATTAGAAAAATTACATCAATTTTTAAAAACCAATTTGGCTTCATACAAGAAATATCAATTATCAAAAATTATTGTTATGTTAAGACAATTTAAAGAAATAAATAGAGAGCAACAAAAAAAGAGATTATCAAATATTTTCTATTAATCTTGAGAAAGTATGAAGGAGCACAAAAATAATTGATTCAATATGCGTTGAGGGAAGATAAATTTTTGTCTATATAGGGGCCCTTATTTATGATAACCATGATGCACCAACACTTCTCTTTAAAGAGCTATGCAGTATCAGACATGTATCGAACATGACACGACACACCAAAGACATGTACTAAAAATAAATTGGTCACATGTATTTGGCACGCGTGTCTAAATATTTTATGAATTTTTTTTTAAAATACAATTTATTGTATCTCAAATTTTTATTTAATTAAAAAAATAAATTTTATATTTCCTATCCAAAGCTCCAAATCAATCGTCCGCACTAAATACCAAGTTCCCTGAATATTCCCATTTTCATCTCTCTGGTAGGGTACATTTAGGATTTCACAATAATGTTCAATGTCATTTTAATATCAACATCCAATGTTGTCACAACATCAGTATTTCAAAATCATCTCAACATCAAAGTCTGATGTTGTATTGAAATTGATGCTCGAAACCAACAATTTCTACACACAGTCACACCCCTGTGCTTTCTCGGCATCTCATCTTTGTCCAATATCAGCTTAACATCGACAGTTAATGTCATCTCGAAATTGATGACAGACATCATCTTGGCATCAATGCCCATGCCCATTACACAACAATGATGACAGACAACCGAAAGCATTGTCATCTCCCCTCTTAATGCCTAACACAACATCGACGTCTGACTCTCAGCATTCTAATATTAAATATTTTAAACATAAATTCTTGTTAAATTACTTAATATTTCTCAATTATTCTTCATATTTTACTTATTCTATTTTTATATTTAAATATAAAAATTATAATATAATATCCAACCAATGTCTGTGTCTTATATTTTCAATAATTGATGTATCCCATGTCCATGTCTTGTGGTGTCCATGTCACCTAGGTAAATATATCAGCTTGTTTTGAGCTAAAACATGGGGAATGAGAATCTTGTTTAATAACACCAAAGCTTGAATGAAGTGGCTTTCAACCTTAACATTTTTTATTCTTGCATGAGATATGCGATTATTAGAAATTTAGATGGCAACATAATCATCATAATTTTAAATCATAAGTTGAACCATTGAAAAATCAAATTCTCTTAAGTGAGTCTAAACACAAATAATTTCACATATAGTGTCATGACTTTGAAACTAGTCCAACAGCAGATAAGGATACCATTATTTATTTCTTACTCTTCTATGAGACCAAGTTACAAATATGTAATAATCAAATATGAATTTTCTATCATCAACTGATCCAACATAATCAAAACAAGAAAATGCTTCCACATTAAGGTGCTTATTCTTATTCAACAATAGTTCATTCCTTTTTTACTTGATATATCTAGGAATATGCAGACAACTTTATTATTTTTTTAGAGTATGAATGGTTGGTTAGCAGCTCCGAAAACAAGACCTAACATGGTGATGGTAAGATATATCAACTTTTCAAACTACCTATGATAATGAGAGGCATACTAAAAAATTTTCCCTTTATTAGCAATATTATGAGTTTCAATGGGAGTGTCAGCAGTATTGAAATATAAAATCCAATTTCCTCAAAGCTAGTGGTATATTTTCTTTAAAACAACAAAGCCCCTTTCTTATAAGCAAATTCTATTACTAAAAAGTATTTGTAACGATCTAGATCTTCGGTCATAAAATACTTTTGGCGATAGTGGCGATAGTGTTTTGCTTTTGTAACCCTTTTGATCGCTCCCTAAATCTAAATTGTCTTGTTAAAAAGCCAAATGAAATGTCTGAAGAAAGTTGTGTACTTTTGTTTACTTCTACAAAGGCCAACCTCAAGAAAAACTTCATAAAATTTATCAATCCAAACCCTAAGTCTTCATTTTAGATATAGATAGCCTTGTGAAGATTAAATACTTTGATCTCCCCCTAAACTATATACCCGGGTAGTTGCTCCATAAAAACAACTTAAGCTGGATTAACATAAAGAAAGGCATTACTTACATCCTTATGTAGCGAAAGCAAATCTTGACTGATGGCAATAGAAAAAAGAATCAATATAGACTTTAGTGGAGGGTTGTATTAGATAGTCGATAGTCAGTGTAAAACTTGTCGAATATTAATGACATGAATCCTTTAAGAAATTGTGCTAATGCTAGGGCGTCCCCTGGAAGCGACGCGCTGTATGGCCTGAATACAGTAACAAGTGTATAAGGACCGCTGCACTGGCGCCCGGGTGCAGTGTTAAATAGGCAAGGGTTCCCACATCAAGAACGAATGTGGGCAAAGAAGCTAGTCAATGATATTAAAAAATATGAAACTAAAATTAGGATAGGAACTTGAAATATAGGTTCCCTTACAGGAAAATTAATGAAATTAATAGATATTATGTTTCATAGGAAGCTAAATATTTTGTGCATTCAGAAAACTAAATGGGTTGGATAAAAGGCTAAAGAAATTGATAGTTTAGAATTTAAACTTTGGTATTCGGGTAAGAGTCATACAAGAAATGTTGTAAATGTTATTATATATAATAATTTGAAGGATAATGTTATAAAAATTAATAGGATTGGAGATAGAATTATAGCTTTAAATATTGTTGTTGATGCTAAAATTGTTAATATTATAAATGCTTATGCTCCTCAAGTAGGTTTGGAGTCCTAAATTAAATTTTTGGAATGACTTAGAAAAATTAATACACCTTGGAGAATCTTCCAAGGGATCTCGTCATTCGCCGACCTCTCCAAAAGAAGAGACTAACTTCGATCGTAGCCCACTGGTCGAATAAATCTCCTTGCCTAATCAAGAACCGGAGATTCAGTGGCGTCGCCGCTCAGAGATCCGAGTACTGGAATGAGAAAATGAAGAAAAAGAATACATAAAAGAAGGGGAGGAATATATCAAAGGGGAAGAAAATATAGAAGAAAATATTGATGAATTTATGGAAGAAAACCTGGAGGAAGAAATGGAAGATATCATGAACCTCGAAGTCGTCTATATGGTAAGACATTCACATGCTATTGATGATGTCTACCATGAGGATGGCAGAGATGATGGAGATTGACAGCCACAACCCAGGCAAGTACACCAATGCGAGACTGGTTCGGTCACTGGCGAAGGTGATCGCTCTCCAAGAGAACAAGAAATAGAAGACGTTGAGGAGAATCCCTTTGATGACCAAGACACCACACTCGCTGACATGAGAAAACATATGAGACGACAAATGAGGGATAAAGATAGGGAGATTTCTCAACTAAATGAAAAGATGACTGAGATGATGACCCAAATGACAACAATGATGCAGAGAATTGCTGTCGATGGCGTCATGCCTAATCCTCCAGCTGATCCTCCGAATCATCGAATATCTCAAGTCTCAGGAGTACGAGGCACTCCTGAGCACGTTCATGAGGCTCAGAATATAACTCGCCAGCCTACTCAAAACATTGCCAGCATCTCCGAGCCTGTAACGACTGCACAGCTCGAAGGGATAATTATAGAGAAGATCAAGGCTATTATAACCATTGATCAAGCAGAAAATTAGATCACAAAGGTTGCTTGTACCCTACTGAATACGATCAAGTGCCATACCCAAAAGGATATTCGGTCCCAAAATTTCATACCTTCAATGGCACTAACAATCCCCGACAGCACCTAGCGCAGTTCAAGGCCTCCTGAGAGAATACGAGGAGAAATGATGCTCTACTCTTCCGGCAATTCGTTAACAGTTTGATAGCAACAGCATTCAAATGGTATGTCGAGTTGCCAAATGACTATGTAAAAACTTTTGAAGAATTAGAAGTCATATTTGTGAAGAGATTCGCCAGTGCGACCGAGAAGATTACAATCGACGACCTCGCTTTAGATAAACGGATCAAAATACATAACTCGTTGGTGTAATCTAAGTATGAAATGTGAGCAACAATTTGAAGAAGAACATGCAGTGCAATTATTAATGGGCAACATTGATGACAAGATGCAACCCTTCTTATGCATGGCTACAATCACCATATTTCAAGACATGCTGGATAGAGTGGCTAAATTTGAAAAGCTAAACTTGTCAAGATTAGAGGGCCACTCTAATAAGCCCAAGAAGCCCAAGACCTTAGAGACAAGAAAAGGAGAAACTTACTTTGCATCTTCTCTCAGACCGAATAGGGGAAACAAGTGATTTATGATGTAGATAAAAGCAAGCAACTA